TGAAATATTGGTTAGTGATGAAAGACGTTTGTGTAGACCTACTGAATACCTGCCCTGAAAAATCAGCAATATGGTACAAAAACAAATCTAATTGGTCTTGATTCATATATAGTGATTGATTTTAAATCTTATATAAAGGCCTCATTTCCAGTGTAGAGCTGAACAACTCTGAGCATGAGCAGTATATTTTTATGGAATTACTGATCATACATGACAGAGAACAGCATCCATCCTCCTCTGTCCAACTGTTAGTCTGCCATGCTAAAGCTCCTCACTCTACTGCTGCTACTGCAGAAAAGCTTAACAAATAATCTGCTGTGAGTTTTTACCAACCCAACACGCCCCTCACCAACCCGCCATGTCAAATGTTAATGGTTTGCTCATGAACTAGGCATGAGAGGAGTTTAAGTTTATTTCAACTCAGCAAACGCTAATAGGGCTCTCAGCTGGCAACCTTGAAATGTTTTGCTTTATTGTCAGGATATCACAGGTTTGAATCCTGGTGATGTAACAGCCCAAAAAATACCACTAAATCTGCAAGTCATCAATAATGGCTGACTTTATTAGTCAAGCGAAGATTTTTCTGTTTTGAGATGAAGGAAACACATGATTTTTTACTTAATGTGGTTTAGGATTCCATGGCTAATAAACACTAGAAGTCAATAGTCACCCGTCGTTGTACCACGTGTCGAGTTCCCTGCAGAATTTGAATTCATGTGTATGCACATCACACAGGCATGGATGATGATCTGTATGGATGCTACAGATTACATTTGCAGGTTTTGTTGTTTCTATTTATTAAGATTTATTAAGCAAAGATTTTTCTGTTTTTAATTTGAAGGAAACACATGATTTTTTTACGGATAAAACTGTAGAATTCTGGAATGTTATGTGTATGAAAGAAATCTCCTGTATATACAAAGAATATACTGTACTATACAAGTAGTTTAAAAGAATTCATATTAGGAGCAACGGAATTGTCTGTTTACGGAAAATATACTGATAATTTTTTGCCAGTATATTTTCTGTTTTTTTACAGATTTTTTTTTTTACATTGCAGCCTACAGCATGAGTGGTTTTTCTGTGCTGACCAATCAAATCAGAGGAAAGGTGGGCCTCACAAAGGAGGCATTGATGATTGCAGTCCTCCACACATTGAAAACACGCCATAAACAAAAAGAAGCTTTTTTAGTTTAGCTTATTCCTGCTAACAGAACCAAAATTTCTAGTTAGTAATAGTACGTTTTTCCTATACATATCAAAGTGATAGCTTACTAGAACCGCTTGGGTCTTATCTGTGCAGTGCTTGAGATTCAATGTAAGTTTTTGTTGTTTTGTAACAAGCAAGAAATTTGGCTGATTTTAGCTAGCCAGTTAGCTATCGCTAGCTGTTGCTGAGCAACGGGGGGAAACACACACAAAGCCCTATGCAGCCTTTGAAAAGCACAGCGGTGTCATCCCCCCTTAGCTAAGACCTGCTGGTGCATTCAGTCCCAAAAGCCTTGAGTATTTTAGAAATATTGAAATCAGCTCATTTTTTACTAGGGAGCTGAGTGAGTGTGAGCTTGACAAACTCACACTGATTCTGACACTTTATCACCGGCACCTCTCAAAGCAGGCCTGATGATGCATTATTCAACAGACATGTGCTGCCTTATGAAGTCCTACTCGAGAAACCGACCCTAAAACCTGATTCAGTCGAAGTACTGCACAAGAGCAATGAACATAGCAATGAAACCACAAACCTATACTTTGCTCTCCATATAACATCGCCTGGATCACTGACCTCTGACTGTACGGTATCTCCTATGCAATCAGTGCTTTATTAGATCGTGAGCTTTACACTTTTAAATCAACTGTCCTTTCTGCAGCTTTATGGACCCGGCTTGACCATGTACCAACCGTAATGGGTGCAGCATTTCATCAGCTAAGTCACTGCCTCTGACATCCCCTGAAGAGGCCGGTTGCATAACAACTGCGAATTATTGTAATTAGATAATCTTAGGACTCCAGGCTCTTTATCAAGACAAATGTCAAGTGGAGGCTGAGAGAGGCGCTGACACTTTGAAAGCTTGGTACAATGCGAAGCAGCGCGGCCTAATCAAGCTGCCACGTTTTGCATTGTAAAGAAGTTCTGCCTCCAGACAGCATTTATCACTACAGCGACAGCAAGGTGAACTGGCTTCCTTAACATCACTTACGTCACCCAGTAGGAGCCTACAACTGCCACTTCTCCGGCTTACAACACGGCAGCCCTCTGCTTTATTTTCAGGGCTGCCTGAGACGGCTGCTTAAATCACTTAGCATCCCATATTATAGCAGGCATTGCTGCACGTTTTGAGAACAGGCTCAGACAGTATACCATTGGGTGCATATGAAACATAAAGTTGTATGTGAAGGTTTGTGCACTCCTGCTCAGATTAGAAGATTTTGTTATATATAAGTTAACACCATCGTTGCATGGATCAAACTTAAATAGGACTTTCCTGAAAATTTTAGTGCACAATTCTGAATGATTTGCTGAATTTAACCTATTAAAAAACAAAGTTTGGTGTGTCCATATGTTCAGCCAGCACTTGTTTGTAGGTATTTGTACAATAGCGCTGCAAAGTGGGCCAGAGCATTACTATTCCTGTACCAGCTAAATCTTCCTGTAGGTCTTTGACAGGGATGTGGGAGTTTTGCTTTGCATTCTTCAGTCAGTTGTCTTTCAGTTTCAGATCCTCAGTCAGTCAATGACCCCATGGCTGTTGACCATAAGCACAACACAGAGAGAGGTTTGAAGGGTCACATAATTCATTATGCTCTGGTATTAACTTGAATTAAGGCATAACAAGGCAAACAAGATATTAGATTGTAAACAATACTAGTAAATCAACTGAAAGGGTGTTTAAACTTTTGTGTTCAGCTGTTGAATTTGTACATCATTTCTTTGTTTTTTCTTCATACTTTTTTCTTACTTTCTTTGTTTATTTGCTTAAATACATTATAATCTGACATATTTACTCCAGTCCTGTGGGGCCAGACATGATCTTGTAACAAGAACGTCTGGGGACAGTCATGAGAAATTTTGGGCTAATTATGGTTAGGAACTGAAACTAAACCTATCCAGTGTCTTGTTAAGGCAGAGCTCAAGGTAGGGATGATGGTGCGCTTGTTTACATTGTCCAAAAGGCAGCAAGTCTGCTGTTCATGAATGTAGGGTAAGTTAGCATGGCTGAAAAAAACTTGTTGTGTGTCACTAATTAGCTTGTTTTTCTTATGTTCTTGATTGTACTCTGAGCGTTAGAAAAGCATGTACTAGAGGTGGTGGGGGCAGGTTTTAGATGGGGTGAACTATTTTTTTGCTGATCATGTCTGGTCCCACGAGACTACAGTTACTCAATGTATTAACTTGTGGCCTCAACATATTTAGGAGGTCCGCATTAGAACAGAAGGCTCACATTAGAACATCTCACTATGTAGTTTGGCAAGTTGTTGATCGATGAATAAAATCATAAACCAATTAAAGAGGAATTTAAACTTATTTTTCTGTAGCTGAGAAGCCTGTTAATTTTTTAATGTTGTTGATTGATGATGTGATGATAGTTATCTGTGTTGCTGTGCTACAAGGAAACAGAGCAGACACTATTATTAGAAGTTATCCAGACTCCATTTGGTGGTGGGCGTGTTCAGTTCAGGTTTGCACAGCTCTTTTTTGTGCTCAGATTGCCTGAGTCGGGTGGGTTGGGCAGAATTATATCCGGCTACATTTGGATTCAGACTGAAATTGCAGGACAGATTAATGCCCAGGTGAGGCACTGAGACCCATTATGATGAAACTGGACTTTATGCTTTTGCCCAATAATAATTTTTTTTATTATGAAGATCTTTTATACCTGAGACTTATTATTTTTTATGCATAAGAAATATTATTGCATTTAATCAAATGAATCAAGCCAGCTAATGTTGACGCCAAATAACGTTAGCTAGCAAAGTCACTTTATTTCACTTTGCTTCTTCATTTTCTGGCAAGGTAGCTAGAAAACTAAATGTTGTTGAACTTATTGCTGACAGAACGTCTTATACTCTCATCAAATGACATACATTTCCATTATTTTTTCTTCTTAATAGCTTGTTAGTTTATTTATAAACCTGTTTACTTCTTCATCTTCACTTTAATAACTTTTAGCCATTAGCGGTGGGCGTCTTTGTAAGTAGCATAACCACAGAAATGGGTGTAGCATGATCATGGAAATGGACGTAGCCCACTGAGCTGTATATGAGTGGTGTAGTTTTACTTCTTTGGTATAATTCTGTTTCTCATCAGGATTACAGCTGGCTACGGAGCCCCAAAGGTGACCCGTGATTGTTTTTTAAAAAAGCATGGCCATGAATTAATATATTGAGGCCACAGATTAATATATTGGGGCCATGAATTAATATATTGAGGCCACAGATTAATATATTGGGGCCATGAATTAATATGTTGAAGCCACAAGTTAATAAATGAAGGCCACAAGTTAACATATTGCAGCCACAAATTAATATGTTGAGGCCACACATTAATATATTGAGGCCACACGTTAATATATTGAGGCCAAAGTTAATATATTGAGGCCACAAGTTAACATATTGAGGCTGCAAATTAATATATTGAGGCCATTAATTTAGTTTCTTGTCACGAGTAGCCTCAGTGTATTAATTTGTGACAATAAGAATCTTAAGTCATAGCCTCAATATATAAATTTGTGACCACACCTTTTTAAAAAATAATCACCATGTCACGTTAGGGGCTCCGCAGCTAACATTTTTAGCATTTTCCCCCACAGTCCTTAGCGAACTTTAAAAAATGGGAGACATAAAATCTGGATGTTGAAAAGTTACATTGTCAGTGTTACGTTGAACCTTTTCTTAACTGTGTACATTAAGAAACAACATATATCAATTTGTGATGTTCTTCATGCATAGAAGCTCCAGTGTGATTGTTAGTACTGACCCATTTTGGTGGTTTGTTTTAGTGCTCATCGTCCTGTGGGCGTGGTCTGCAGTCCCGAGTTGTCCAGTGCATGCATAGGGTGACGGGTCGCCATGGCAGTGACTGCCCCATAGTCCTAAAGCCCCCAGCATACCGGCAGTGCCACCAGGGGGCGTGCAACGAAAAAGTCAATGTCAACACCATCACTTCTCCCAGGCTGGGTAAGAAAGAAACTGAAAAACCACACTGAAGACAAATGGCTAAGAGCCCAGGCCTTTATTCATCAGCCTTCTTAGAGTAGGAGTGCTGACCTAGGATCAGACTTCTGTCTTAGTTAGAATGGTCCTATAGACAGAAAAAACATCCTACATTAGCTCTTACACTCTAAAAAGCTTGATGAATATCTACCCAGGTCCTGTTTTATTTTAAGTGGGTTAATTGCTGTAGTCATGCTCTATTTTTTGGACAGCTAGTTTATAAGCTCTCTGCTTTCATCTGTATATAGTTTAGTGCAAAACTAAAAGTAAAACTGTGCCAGTTTGCCCATTTTTCCATTTTTTATATTATGTTTCAGTAATACTACTACTACTACTACTACTACTACTACTAATAATAATAATAATAATAACAATATGTTTACATTTTATAATGCCTTTCTCAAACTTAAGCAAAATACAGTCAAAAATAAGCAAAACAACCCTCAACACACTCACAGTTCCTCATCTGATGGGGTAAACTTCCCAAACCAAGGCACATAGTCACTTAGTCCGAAAAGATTCCTTAGCCACAGGGAAAGGTCCCTCTCTGCCTGCGAGGCCTTGTAGTTGTGGTATAGCGTAGCTCAGACAGCCAGCCCTGGCAACCTCATTGCTGCTATATGCTGTAGCTCAAGTGATTGTCCCCAGAAGACTCATAGCCCAGAAAGAGCCCTTAACTGCAGGGGAAAGTCTCTCTCCACCTGGGAGGCCTTGTAGCTGTGATGTAGAGTAGCTCCAGCAGCCAGCCCAGGCAGTTTCATAGCTGCAGTGTAGCGTAGCTCAAGAGACCAACCCAGGAAGACTTGTAGCCTGGAAAGAGCGTAGTAGTCACGGAATCTGCCTGGGATGCTTCATAGCTATTGTGTAGGGTCACACGAGCGGCCAGCCCACCTAGCTTCATAGCTGCGGAGTAACATAGCTTAGGTGGCCAGCCCCGGAAGAGTCTTAGCCCGGAAAGAGTTCATTAGTCATGGGAGAACGTCCTGATCAGCCTGGAAGGCCTCATAGCTGCAATGGTAGCATCGGCCAGCACAAGAAGCCTATGAGCCATAGGGGGAAAGTCGCTATCCTGGCTGATATGTTGGCAAAACACCTCAGACAGGGTGGAAACAACAAGGCATGCGCACAAACAAAACGAAACCGATGCAAGCTATACTGCGCCAGCTATACTCCACCAGTGTACTTACAAAAATGATCTGCTGAACAGGACGCAGATGACAATGTTAAATCCTGAATGACCAGTCATTAACACTTTAATGGAACTGCATAACACTGACATGAACAGGTTTGTCATCACAGATTTTGTATGTAACGTTACCATTACTGTTAATTATCATGACAAATTGTTGTAATGTTTGATGTCATAACAGCTTATGTCATGTGCTTCTAAACATCTGCTATTACGTTTAATAGTAATGGTAATATGACATTCTGTGTAAGAGTCAATGATCCTGGTAATGTTTAACATGTAACAGCTTATTTTTGATTTCCCTGTTTTGTACTGTCTTAAATGACAGTGTTTATATTATTATTAAATATTGATATATGTTATATGTAATATTACTGGACATAAACTCATAATAGCATATTACATCTGCCATGACATGCTTATGGCATGGTTATGTCAGTGCAATGCAGTGTTTTGTATTATGTAACATTTAAAACTTATGAACTTAAAAAAAAAATGAGATCAGTCAATAAAAGTGTATTAATGCAGCATATACTTTTTTCATAGTAAAGGTACTTAGAATAAGGTTAACTTGTCAGTCCAGTAATACAACATGCAAAGACATTGTTTTGCTTGACATATCAGGGTTCCAAATCTTTCAAAATGTAGCTTTAGAAACTCCAAATATCAACTTTTTAAATGCAAAAATGGCCAAATATGAGTCTTTACACAAAACACTGTTTAGACATCATGCTGTTCCTTGCTACCATCCTCACTAACACCATGCGTCATGTGTTGTCCTGGGCAGCGGCGCTGACGTATAAGTGCACGGGAGACCAGTGGACGGTGTACTGCAGAGTGATCCGGGAGAAGAACCTGTGCCAGGACATGCGCTGGTACCAACGCTGCTGCCAAACCTGCAGAGACTTTTACGCCAACACAATGCCCCACAAGAGTTAATGATCCTGGCACTCTTTAACACGTAGCAGCTTATTTTTGATGTCCTTTTTTGTATTTGTCTTAAATGACACTGTTTATATTATTGTTAAAGATTATTGTAAGTGAAAATCAGTGTGAAAACAGTAACAAGCAAGTTGCAAAAAGTACGCAATGGATTTTGCAAATTTTAAAGCTTTTTAAGGTTGTGACTTGAAAAAAGGAGGCAAAAGGTCTATGACTTTTTATATTATTTTGCTGTAAACCAAAGTTAACCAACGTTAAAAAGCAATTGGAGACTTCTTTAGCATCCCGGCTTGGCTGTTGTACAGTAAGCCGGGCGTTCTCAGAGTTTTGAAAAACCGTTTGGCTAGCATTGCTTTCTAAAAGCCACTGGTTGGCCAAGAACCCCAGGACGGAGCAACGGGGCGTTCTTAATATTTCAGTAACCTAATCACCACTCTGTATCTGTATCTATTATTTTTTTCAGATTTTTTAAATCTCTTCTTTATTTTAAGACCCCCCTCTCCAGGACGTCTTAAAGAGGTCCCTGATGAAGTCACTGAAAGAGGACGTATAATCCAGAACCTCATGGCTCGTGAGCTCTATAGTCAATATTATCAAAGTGCTGTGTGCTTTGCTGTCGCTTTAGTTTTTTTTCCTCTTGTTCATTGTCTTTAGCCTTTTGTTTGTTTTGTCATGGTTGAGGATTTGTGTCAGGCAAGGGGTCCCATTGTTGTCAGATTTCTGGTTAAGGTCTAGAGCACCAACCCTGTTCTACCTTCCTGCAGAGTCTAGCTTCAACCATGATTGGCCACACCTCCTCCAGATAATTCACTTTTTCATAAGTTCTTGATTGTGTATGTCAGATGCTTTAGAGATACAATCATAGACCAATAATTGAATGTCCTGTCAATTTATATATTTGTTGATTTTTTTAAGTGAAAATATATTAACACATCGTCTACTGGGAACTTAAAAATGGCTTTTTCTGCAAATTTTAGTGCACAGTTTCTGTTTATTGCATGTTTAAAAAAGTTGTTTAAAAGTAGTGTGCTATAACTTTTGCACAGTTTACATTTTATGTTTTATTTTTCCCCCAATATGTTGAATTTAGCAAAGAAAAAACAGAAATTGTCCATTCAAAAGTGCAGAAATGTGTTCTCCGTAGAAGATAAGCTTGTTTTCACTTAGAAAATCAGTAAATAAAAAAAAAATCTAAAAATAAATTAACAAAAAACATATCATTATTTGACCAGGGGTGCCCAAACTTTTGCATACAACTGTAGATAAGGGCTAATTTGATGCTGGTTGGTACTTAATGTAGGAGGGGGTTTGGTGACCACTGGTATGGAGAGTTGGGCTGCAGTTTATGATTATCTTTATGATCGATTAATCGACTAATCAAAGCATTTTGCTGTTTCCTCTGCCCCATCACAGCGATCGTTCCAAGTTCTGTCTGTGCAATAAGGGATTTCTAAACAACAGAAGCCATATCGCCCTCTATGTTTTCTGTAATGTACTGCAGTCTGTCCGTGTACCATACGAACACTATAGAGCTTTATACTGCGCTTTTGTTTTGAAGTTTAAAAAAACATAATCAACTTTCATGACTAACCAATGCATCTGTAGTAGGAAGAACTAAGTGCATGTGACTCTTACCAATGCCTGTCGTGTTACGTTAAGTTGACCAAAGCTGCGTTTTCATTACAGTAAATCAGATATTATGACTGCTACATGACTGCAAGCAACTTTAGCTTTCTAGAGTAAAAGTGGAGGCAGAGCTGTAGGCTATTCTGATCAAATATTGTTTTTAAAAACTTTAACCAGTGTAATAATCTCCCTCTGAATGTTAATTCCTGCTTAATAATAACAATTCATCTTTATTTAAGTAGCATTTTTATTTTAGTCAAAAAAAACCTGCGATTTACACAAATGTAAGTAAAACATTAGCAAGATAAAATACCATGTTGTAAGTGAAATAACAGCATTATTTTAGACAATGGGCCACAATGCTGTAGGTATAAGATAGTCTAAACATATATGGTTTTAATCTGGATTTTAAAAAATGTATTGGGCTTGCATTCCTAATATTATCTGAAATTATATTCCAGAGTTTAGGAGCTATTTATGAAAATGACCTTCCACCAACTGAGCTGTAAGTGATTCTGCTTCTGTTCAACAAAGTGGTCTGGATAGGCTATGATGGTAAGATATGTCAGAGCTGTAAATGTCATAAGCAAGACCTTGTAGTTAAGCAGTGGCATAACAAGTCAAATGCAGAGCTTTTGGGCTGGGTGACCCTAAATCTGAGAATTTTTAAAGAAATTGCCCATTTCATCCCAAAATAGTAGACTTAAGAGGTTGTTAAGAAACCACAACAGCGGTGAAGTTGTCATTGAAGCTGTTCAGTAGCTGAATTCCCATAAAAACACAGCAGACTTCACAGATTATTGAATTACTCACCTTTTCCGCAGGCTTTTAGGCTATTTGTTTCCAGCATTGGAAATGGATAGAAAACAACACGCTCTGCTCTTCAGGATATTTGAAAAATCGTGCCCATATTGTCACTGTCCAAAGAAAACCATGTATCTCCTTTTGACCATTTATTTTTGTACATCACACCAGCTGTCCTTTATGTTGTGTGAAAATTTCATAAGGAATGAAGCAATAGAAATGCTCTAAAATCACTTGGAATTATATCTCTTTACATTAACTCACACTGAAAGGGAAGAGTGTTTTTGCCTTCTATTGTAAAGTAACTATTTTGGATATACCTGCTTTTCTTTGGACAGCGATGATGTGCAACTGCATACCTTACATATCCAGATGCTATGCCACTGTAGTTGAGACACATGAAGAAATGCTCCATGCTACATTTCAACAGTCTGATTGACTGCTGGCAGTCGGCAAAACTGACATCTCATTTTCTTAAAGAAAATCTGTAAATCTGGAAACAAAAAAACAGTTTGCTCCACTGTAATGGATGCAGAGCCCCACAGCAGTGATTATTACTGTGTGCTTATTTCCTCTGATTATATTTCCCATATGTGTAAATACCCCCCACCCTTTTATGACCCATTTTAAACAATGCTGAAGATTTTTGCAAGAAAAGACCACCAAGATGGCCGGCAAAGCTGAGTCAACACTACAGCAGAATAGCAGATAATCATGCAGTCCTTCTTATAGACTAAGACAGCATAAACAACAGTGATTTAGAATATAAGATGTTCAGTCTGAACTAACACATCCAGAAATCCTCATATCTCACAGATGCAGCATCTGCAGCTGAGAATGCAGGTGGTCAGCAAGCCCAGGATCCAGCAATCCCAGCTTCCAGCTGAGATGCAGGATAACAGAGGGCAGCTTTTGAAATGAGGGTCCCTGCCTTGTCGCTGGGCGAAACTGGAGCTTGGTTTTCAGGGTGTTTTGTTAGACAGAAATGGACATACGGACAGTTTGAGGCTTCTGATGAGGTGACGCATGAGGTTCTGGGTGGTCTGAAGGTACGCTGAGTAAAATTTTCCTTTTCATAATTTGTATATTACTGGCACATGACTGATCACCTGACTGGCTTGTCATTTGAACCATGGTCATTGTCCCAGCTCAAGGGTCCAATTTTCACCCTGTAATATTAATTTCAATCTATTATTTTCCTTTATATTTAATGGAATTTAATGTAAAATTCTACCAAATGTATCTTTTATCCATGTTTAAAGGGATCAGTGTTATTTTTAGCTCCCTGGAGGTTTAGCATTGCACATTTGTTTATTTGTGTAAAAATAACAGACTATGACTATAATGTTTAAAGCTTTAAAAATCAAGGTAAAGAAATGTTGGGGGAGAGCGGGACACAACTTAACACACTTTTGTTGAGTAATTCTAAAAGTATCTGAGCAAGAAAAATCATTTTTAATACAAGAAACCTGCACATATGCACTACAGATAAAAATATAAATGTTTCCAGCACCTAGCGCGAGGGTCGGCAACCCAAATGTTAAGAAAAGCCATTTTGTTCTTTCAGCAAAAATCAAACCACCTTGGGAGCCGCAACATTTTATGCTATTTTACCATCTTGGCTGTAAATATGTCATAGTATTTGCTCATATATTAATATAGGCTAAAAACTGTAATACAAACGAAAGACAGTTTGTAAGACTTAGACAATTTCTCGTTACCAATTAAACGTATCAGGAAACCAGCTGGAGTGATTATAAAAGCAAATAAGTCCATTCGTCTCTAAATTATCCATGTCCGTCTTAAAACTCTCTCTTTTTAAAGGGTGAATTAGCAGTTCAACATTAACTCTAGAGTTTAAGACCATGTATTGTTAAAACTGTGTTGAAAAAACTGTGTTGAAAAAAAAAATTTATTTTTACCTAATAATTTAATTCTGCTGTGGAGCCGCAAACAGGGCAGTAAAAGAGCCGCATGTGGCTTGGTTGTAACATTGTGTAAAAAGCTAACCTCGTCATGTGGAGGCTGCACTTTAGCTTGGCTCTCACTGTAAGAGGTGTACATGCTTCCAAACGGTGCTATATTACAGCCACCAGGAGATTAAACTATAGAAGCAAATTCTGTGACTTACTTAGGACTCAATAACTGAAAAACACTTGAAGTTACTTTTAATGGTGATGCTTGAGAAATTTCTGTCCAATTGCTGTAAAAATTGGCTGTCGACATTGCTTTTGGAATATGATTAGAGGACTGAAAACCTGTTCTACTTGAGCCTGTTTAACTACAGAAATTGTCCATTTTGTAGTTTACCCTGTGTTATTTTGTTCTCCGCTCTCCTCTGCTACAAGAATTCCTCCTGTTGAAACACGCTGAAAATGATTGAGTGACCTTTAAATTTTCAGGAATCCTGATGAAATTCAATGCATGTTTATTACAGGTTATAGTTAATCTCACAAACAGGTGCATCACTTTGGGTCAGTGGAGTCGGTGTGAAATGTGAACTTTGACTGCAGGTTTGAACTTCACAGAAAAGTCCCATTGATGAGGGTGGTCCACTTTGTGTGTGTGTGTGTGTATGTGTGTGTGTGTGTGTGTGTGTGTTTAGATACCTTGGCCCCTGTTTTCTCAGGCAGCACAGGGTTCATTTGGTGCTAGACAAATTTCACTACTGTGGAATTCAGCAGTTTTTTTTTTTTCATTTTCATTTGTTTTTGTTCTTCCATATGTATTTTCATGTCATCATTATTTAATACTGAAGTGTAGCTACCTTCATATTTCAGAACTAGGCCGTTTGGTGCCAATTGCTTCATTAACTGATATAGTGCCGGTTTTCACGTATATATTCCAGTACTGTATGTCTTTAGTTGCACACATGATTGGTACATAAACTGCCACTTTATGCATTTTCAATGGTGCTGATTTGATTCAAATTGGTTAAATGTTTATGCAAAAATAAATTAATATCTTGTGACACAGGGGACTGAAGTGTGTTGTGCATGATTTAAACCACATGAACACTGAATTCATCCTCATTTAGAAGAATATTTAGAAGAATTGACTAATTGCAAGCTTGGTGACCACCAGTGATGGGCATTCCAGTTCTTTTCAGTGGGTTAGATCACAAAGAACAGCCGCCTCTTTTGGTTTACAAATGCCTCTTCATTCAGTAGCACTGGAATTAGCCAAGTAAGTGATGTTATTTATAATTTAGTTTGTTAATAAAAACATAGTCTATCTTCCAATTTAGCAATTAACAAAAAGTGCATTAGGTTTGTTTTTTTAAAAATCCAAAAGGTTGTTAAGTGGTTTCAAGAGGTAAGGATCACAAGACAGGCAGACACATGCACTCATTGTCATTACCGACATGTCATGTTAAGAAGACCATGTCGCCATGTTGGTAGGCAAGCTGCAAACCTGACTGTGCTCTGATAGAGCTCATCTCATCACCATTACTGCAGTTACGACCCAGAAACAAAATAGACTAGAATGACCACGGTAGGAGAAGATAGATTGGTGAACTGGATCTGTATAACCTGCACTTCATTTTACAAAAACTAATAAAAGTGGCTTCCAAAGCTCCCAAAGCTCTTAAATAATAAACTCATACATATATATCAAGCTCAAGTCAG